CGGGACGAGGAGGAGGGATGGGGCTTCAACTTCCGGGCGGAGGCCAGGTGAGTGCCCCACAAGCAGGCTATCAGTATGAGTCCTGTACCCACAGCTCTGCCAGTAGGAAAGAGTCTCAGCAGCACGGGGTGCGCACTGCAGAGAAGCTACTTCGGGAATTTTACCCGCACTCGGAATCCGGGCAGACCCAGCTGCGGCTGCTGCAGAGCCTGTGCCTGCTAGCCACCAGGGAGAAGGCGAACGTAGAAGTGGCTCTGGGCGCCTTTATCGAGATGGCCCAGGCTGAGGTGCGAGGGCTAGGGACGGGTTCCGGTGGGCAGGGGTCAAGATGGGGGTGACTGCCAAAGTGCCCCAATGTCTGCTTCCCGTGGATGTGTGCAGAAGGACAGTATCCCTGCACTGCTGGCCATGGCACAGGCCTACATACTCCTGAAGCAAGTCCCCAAGGCCCGAACGCAGCTGAAGCGCCTGGCCAAATTCCCATGGATGCTGGACGAGGCCGAAGACCTGGAAAAGAGCTGGCTTCTGCTGGCAGACATCTACTGCCAAGGCGGCAAATTTGACCTGGCCTTGGAGCTGCTGTGCCGCTGCCTGCAGTATAACAAGGCAAAGATCACTGGCATGGGAGAATAAGGAAGGGTAAGCAGGGTGGGGAGAGGTAGAGCCAGAGGAGCCAGAAGCAGGAGCCACAGGCCAAGAAAGGACCAGGCTTACGAGGGTCAGGCATAGCCAGGAAGAGAAGAAAACAGAATGCCCAAGAGAGGTAGGTCAGTTAACTTGAGCTATATGCAAGAATTAGCTTCTGGGAGATGGGATTGTTGGTTAGAGGGGCTTTATTTGAAGGGGGTTATACCAGCTTTTGAGTAAAGAGTGGGTACACAGTTAACCCTTTAAAAAACTGAAGGTGCTTTCAGGGGTCCCTATGCACTTTTGGTTACTGCTGCTTACCACCAACCAGTTGCCCCTCCTGGCCCCCACCCTGAGGACCATGGTGGCTGCTTCTGGGCAGGGGTGCTAACTGGCTTTCCCCACAGTCTTGCTGCAGGGCCTATGAGTACATGGGTTTCATCATGGAGAAAGAGCAGTCATACAAGGACGCAGCCACCAACTATGAGCTGGCCTGGAAGTACAGTCATCAGGCCAACCCTGCCATTGGTAAGACAAAAGCCAAGGTACTCAGGGGCTACTGTCCCGATCCTAGAACTCAAGTCCTGAATCTTGGCAATTCAGGGAGCCCGAGGGTTTCCCAGTCACCAGAGCGTTCCCTCCTACCCCTGGACAGGTTTCAAACTGGCTTTCAACTACCTGAAAGACAAGAAGTTCGTAGATGCCATTGAAGTCTGTCACAGCGTAAGTCACCAACACAGGCGGGGAAGGTGCCGTGGTAGGACTCCTGCCTGATTCTACACATCTGATCTTTCTCTGTACCAGGTCCTGATGGAGCACCCCAACTACCCCAAGATCAGGGAGGAGATTTTGGAGAAAGCCCAGGGGTCTTTGAGGCCCTAGCTGCAGCTGGAAAGGGCTTGGGCCGGGAGAAGCATCAGTCTATAGACGATTCAGGGGGAGAATAGGAAGTGAAGCCGTGGAGAAACAAGTGAGAAATGCATATTCTCCCCATTTCTGTATCGGCTGTGCTTTATTTGGATTCATGCCTCATGTAGCCCGAGGATGTCTGGAAGCTTTATGTTTTTAAGGCCTAAGAAGTAATTTTGCCTGGGGAAGGAAGATGGCTGGCTTAGCCTGTGCCAGGGATTCCTGGGCCTTTCTCATGAACCTCACATTTGTTCCAGACTCTTGAAGACGTGGAACAGAGATCCACCCCCACCCCCAGCACACTGATGGCTAGGAAAGTACCCTATAGCTACTTCCAAGTGTACCCCTGTCTTATCCCCAGCTAGAGAAGCACGGCCCCTCCCTGCCATGATGCCCATCGGGTCTGCCCGGCAGTGGGCTCAGAAGGACCAGCCACAGCATGACCCCAAGCTAAGGCCCTGTGCAAGAGGGCAGCAGCTTTTCAAGGTCCGTTCACTGGGCTTCCCTGTCCTCACATTCTGTTCTTACCCACGTCCTCCAAGCTGGACCGCACCAGTTTGGGATAAGCCAGATTATCATGGAGCCCCATCCTCCGCCTCCACATAACCATGCTTTGCCTTTTGTCAAAGATATTAGCCAACCAGCTCACCTTCCAGGATCCCACTTAATGCCTAAGGGGGCAGACACGATGGTCTGAATTCAGGTGGCTAATGATCATTTTAACTGGGTTCCTGTTTCTCAGGATGAAATTATGGGTCACCCCAGCCTCAAGGGAAGGAACTCTGAATTGAGTACCTGGAGGCCCAAGTTCTCACCGAGTACTCTTCTTCCCAAGTGCTTGCCCTTTCTGGGTCTTGGTGCCCTCTTCTTCAGCATGAAATTAGAATAGACCTGGGCAGGGCATGTTGACTTAGTTGGTGGAGCGGAGGATGTGCCAAGAATACATGAAGCCCTGGGTTCGAGCCCCAGCATCACTTAAACTGGCTTTGGTGGTCTACACCTGGAACCCTAGCATGTTGGAGGCAATAAAGTCATTAGGTCAGGGTCATCTAACTTAGTGTCTGAGGTTGTCTTGGGGTTGATGAGACCAGACCTTAAAAAAGAAGACTCTGTTTCTCAAATCATTGTATTATGCTTTGCCAGTAATGTCTAAAAAATGTTTTATTTATGGTCCTGGGGTTGAAATGAGGGATACATTCTGTACCCCGAAGCTATACTTTTCACCCCCTAAACTGAACAACCCTGTGCTTATCCATGTTTATATAATAGCTAGCACATTTAGGAATTCTTAGGCGCTGGTGAACAGGATCTCTCACTTTTAAGGCTATTGATATATTCTATTTAAAGAAAACTACAGGCAAGCATGGTACAATTCTACAGTTACGATCCCAGTGCTTGGGGGGGAGGGCATAGGGAGGGCAGCTGCAAGCCCAAAGCCACCCTGGCTTGCACAGTGAGTTCCAGGACCATCCAGGGCTATGTAGCCAGATGCAGCCTCAAAGCAAAAGAGAGGTGAGATAGCACAGCAGGTAAAGGTTCCTGTTCCAACTCTGACGACCTGAATTGACTCCCTGGGTCCCACACGGTGGAAGGAGAGAACCAACTCCTGTAAGTCGCCCTCTGACCTCCACACACAAATTGTAGCATGTGTAAACTCAGGTGTATACACAAAATAAAAATGTAATGATGATCCAATCGATGAATAAAGAAAGCAGTCTCAAAACAAGCTTTAGTGCGGTAGAATGTCCATGCGGTTTTCACAGAGCCATCCTGGTGCAATTGCTTACTTACTGTCCCAGCACTTGGGGAGTGGAGGCAGGAGGATCGGGAGCTTCAGGTCACCCTCCATCCACAACAAAGCAAGCGCAGCTTGAGCTGCAAGAGACCTTGTCTCAAAAAGTGTGTGTGTATATGTGTGCACATGTGTGTATTGGGACAACTTGCCATAATCTCAGCACTTGGGAGATAGAGGCAGGAGGATCAGGAGTTCAAGGTCACCCTCAGCTACCCAGCAACAGTTTTAGAAAGAAGTTGAGTTGCCTGGAGGGTTGCTAAGTTTTTCTTCTGAGGCTGGGACTAGAACCAAGGGCTTAGATGATACCTGGCTGGTAGTCCAGCCCCAGCCAGTCCTCCATTGTTGCTGATGTCACGAGTAGATCTAAAACACTTCCCCCAGGTCCCTACCCTCTCCTATAGGGAGAGTAGGTTCCTTTTCCCATGATCTGTTTCACAGCCGTTTTGTTTGAGACAGGTTTAGGAGGAAAGTCTGTTCTGGGAGAGCTTTGCCATAAAGAGATTGTGTGTTGAACATATTTTATCTATCTCAGCTTGACTCCACAAACGAGACTGCCCAGGACTTGACCCTATGGCCCTAGATGGGAGTTGGGAAAGCCTCAGTCTGATCAGGGACAGAGTCTGTGGGGGGAGTCTGTAGGAGTGATGAAGCTCCCACCAGATGCCCTGAACTACCAGAGAAACCTCTCAGAACCTTTGGAAGAGAGACAGACGCTGCACACCAGCTCCATCTCTGCACAAGCGTTTCCCAGCCCCAGTGAGAGGAGACAGGACAACAGGATGTTCCAGAGTACTCTATCCTGAGAGGTCAAAACAAATAAGCCAGTCACAGGTACACGTGGCCCCACTCCAGGCAACGCTCCAAGCCCTCAGCCCTCTGGTGGTCACTGGTGTTGCCATAAAGTCCTGTCCCCGATTGCCAAAAGCAGAAGGTCACAAACAGAATCGTGACCCAGGCATTCAAGGTTCTGCATGAGCATGAACCAAGCCAATCTGAGAGGAGCAGTAATCATTTGCACAGGACTGGAGAAACCCAGGTGGGTAACCTACAGATCGCCTCACTGGGCAGTGAGAGCTGTGGGATTGAATCCATCCTCTCCGCAGAACACAGCAGAGGGGCTACAGCATAGGAAGGCTCTCTCCTGTGGTCGTTCTCTGGAGGACCTGTGCAAATCAGTAGCAGACAGGCTCCAGACAGGGGTTCCCCAGCACAGGGTGCAGCAGCCTGCTCTGCACCCCTGACCTAAGTCCTATTCTGGCTGCCTCAGGACAGGTCTGGCAGGTCTGGCTGGTCGAGACACTTCTAGAGCTCAAGTCCCCAGGGACTACAGCTTATCTGAGCAGACTGTCACCAGGCCAGGCCTTATATACTAGGCTGCCCTCCCTGGACCCAGACCAGGGTGTATGTATGCAAAGAAGGGTGCCCTCACCCAGCCCAAACAGACAGCATCATGGAGGAATGGGTTAATCCAGAGGGAAAACTGTTCCACTTGCCCAGCCAACCTCTCAGCTGGCTCTCTGCCTACAGCCTGACTGGCCCGCCTGGAAGGAAGCCCAACGTGCTGTCCTCCTGCCTCAGTACAGCCTCCGTCCATGCTACACTGCAATGCTCCACCCCACATGCTTCCTGGGGGTGCACCATGCTCCCCACCCCACCAAGGAGACCACACTTAAAAATAGAGCGTCTTTATTGGTACCTGTCAGCTCAGGTACAATGTGTTCCCACAAGCACACAGGCTGGCAAGGCCTCCCGAGCAAGGAGGCAGGCCCAGAGCCCGCGTTTCTTGGCACACACACACACACACAAAGAAATGAATAAATTATAGTTCTGACACTTAGAGACAATATAAAAATGCATATAAAATCCAACATCAGCTAATGAAGGGCATAAAAGTCTTCAAGAGCCACCCCTTGCCAACTTGCCTGGGGGCGTGTGGTGGGCCAGGATGGATTCAGTGCCCAGAAAGGCCTGAGACAACCTGAGGTGTGCTTCATGTCCTAGGCAAGCCTGTTACCCCTCTTGGGGCCTCTGGCTCCCCATCCTACAGAGGGGCTTTATAACCCATGGCCTAGGGGGAGAGGGAATTGGACAGAGAGCATGTGGAGTGTCTGGGCTGGGGGCAGAGGGGGTTTTGGTCACCGCTGGTTAAGCACAGTCTCTGTCTGTGTAGCTGAGCCAGGCCACTGTTTGATATAGGAGATCATAAGCTCGAACCCACACGCCATACCAAAGCCCAAGACTGGCAGGGTACATTGAAGACTGGGCCCTAACACTGCCCACCTGACAGAGAGGCTCAACCACTTCTGTTTCACTCCCCCCAATAAATTACAGAAATAAATTACATCTTCACAGTCCAGAAGACCTAGCTCCTATGGTTCACAGGAAAGCAGAAGGCCCTGCTTTCAGCTGTCGCTGTCTCTGAACCAAGGAGCATCTTACAGTACAAGGAGAGGGGATGCGAGGCTCCAGGAGAGCCCCCACCCCTTCCTCCTCCAGGCATACAGTAGGAGGTGGAAGACCTCTGTTTGGACATAAAAAGACCAGGCATTGAAAGAGGGGTACCCTCCCCACCCTCCCTTCAGTACAGAAAAACATAAAAAAATAAATAAATTCAGAGTGTTAATGTAAAAATAGAGGGTGCTCACATGGCACCATAGGCAGGACCAGCCCATGGGAGACCGTTACATACATAGACCTCAGGGAACCCTAAGATCACATAAAAAGCAGCAACAGGGTCTCAGGGCAGGAAAAAGGCACCTTAACCCTTACACTGGCACAGGCTCCATCAAAGGTGCCAAGGTAGTGTCCTCAAACTGGCTCTCCAGAAGGGGTGCCAGGACATCCGTAACCGGCTCAGACAGGCCCATGAGAGACTCCAGGAAGCAAGCACTGGCATCCCTTGGTGGAGAGAAGCTGGGCAAAGGGTGGAAGGCCTCAAGGCTGTCCAGGCTGCCAGATACTCTTCGGGAAGTATAGTGAGGTCCCAGACTATAATCTGGCAGAGCCTGGAGAAGCTCAAAGGAGTCACAGGAGGATAAGCTGTTCTGGACGGCCTCCCCCTCAGGGGATCCAGAACTGCCAGGGAGGCTACCTTCTCTCAACTCTTCAACTCCGCTGTTTAGGAAGAAGCTGGCATCCAGGTTGGCATTCTCATCTAGGATGCCCGGTGCAAGGCTAGAGCCAGACTGGCTGTGAGTCCAGCTGGCCAGGCTGCCGGGGTCACCGGTACTAAAGATGTCAGCCAGATGGAAGCAACTGAGGTTATCCAAGTTGCCCACACCCCCTCCCTCCTCCTCTTCTTCCTCAATACCGAGGTCAGAGTCACTTAAATTCAGGATCTGTTCCAGGCTGTCTTCATCTACGCCAGATCGGAAGCTGGGACCCGGCAGGCTAGGGTGAGCAAGGTGGTTTGGAGGCTCGCTGCTGCCAGAGGACGAGGTCGTAGAAGAATCTGTCATGTCACTGCCGCAGCTATTGTCTCCCAGCTCACTGCTCACAGGGGGCTTGGAAGGCGGAAAAGGAGAAACCAGCGTTTGTTCAACAGGAGTGTCCTCCACGGGGGACTCCAGGTCCCCCAAGCTCTCGGCACCCTGCTCCATCTGCAGGCGAGTGAGCGTGTGGATGAAGTGTGTCTGAACTCTTGCCTGATTGAATTCCACTCGACCATTGGGGTTCTCACAGCCCTCGCTGCAGCAGCCACAGGGGAAGGACGTGTGATCCATCTGCAGAGAAAGACAATGCCAAAGTGAGGACTTTGGGGGTGCAAGAAGCTAGCAGGCCCAGTTCCCCACTGACAGGGTTTCCCTGTGTCGCCCTGGCTGCTGCGGAACTCAGAAATCCACCAGCCCGACACCCACCTGAGTGCTGGGATTACAGGCACACCCCCTTATCCTACCCAGTCCAACCACACACCTGGCACTTAATGCCGGCCAGGCTGCAACTGCAGGTCTCAGGGTCACAGACGCCATCACAATGACAACCACAATCCTCCCGGGATTGGCGGACCGCCTGCAGCTCGCGCTTCTCCTCTCGGTCAATCCTTCGAACACCCGAAGCCCGAAGTAGGGCACGTCGCTGCCGAGGTGGATGGGGCTGTAGGAAATTCGCTTCCTCCAGGCGGCCACTCGCCACGGCCACTGCCAAGTCCTCCTCTACAGCAGCATCATCGATGGTATCTACTGTGAGAGACACGCCTGCCCCTGACTCCGGAACTCCAGCCACTGAAAGCTACAAGGATAGGAGAGGGGTGTGAGAGATAGAGATTTATCTCTCCCAGAGTGAGGGGCGCTCAGTGTACACGGGGGAGGGGAACACACTGTCCTTAGCACCTCCAAGGGCCTCTCACATCGTCTCAGCTCAGACATAAACCCCTTCTCTTAACTAGATTCACGTACTGGCAGTGTCAGACCAGTCTAGAGGGCTGATCGGATTTTGTCTGAAGTCGACTACTTTTCTTTTGAGAAAGGCCCTCAAGCTTCCTAAGGATGACCTGGAATCCCTGATTCCTCTGCCTTCACCACCCAAGTTCCAGGATGACGGGAGTGCACCAAGACCCCTGGTTTATGCAGTGATGGGGATGGGCACCAGGACCTCCTTCCCACCAGGCAGGCACTCTTCCTGTCTGAGTTACAGCCCCAGCCACTGAACCTCGCCTGACACCAACACAGGCCCGTATCTCTGCACTTGTAATGTGGAAACCCGCGTCCTGGGCCTCCGTACCTTCCACCTCAACATCTCCAGCTTCTCCTCCTTTAAACGCCGTCGGAGCTTCTCACGCCGAGCCCGGACCTGCTCCTGTGTAAACTCATCTAAGGAGAAACGGCGACAGGTGCTATGACGAGATGCCATGCCCAGAGTACAGCCGCCACGGCTGGGCACACTGGTGAATCCCTGGCACCGTGGGAAATAGTAGACGGTGATGCCATCAAAGGCCACGTGACCTGGGCGCTCCCGAGGAGCCCGTTTCAGGATGGATGAGGCTGAAAGGGACAAGAGAGGGGACTGAGTTCTCCTTGATGCAGTCAAATCTCTAGGAAGATACGTACCCATTCACTTTCTCCACCCACTTTAGATCTGGACTTAAAAGCTAGGCCTGGCTGGATCTGGAGAATAATACCACATCCAACCCAACACCAGCTTATTGTCAATTATCAGCCCAAAGAACTGCATTCAAAGATGAAGTGTCTTGCCATCCTTACCCCGGATTCATAAATTTTTTGTATAGCTTTCTGTAATTTTTATTGTTTACATGTAATAAAAACAATATAGCCGGGCGGTGGTGGCGCACGCCTTTAATCCCAGCACTTGGGAGGCAGAGGCAGGTGGATTTCTGAGTTCCAGGCCAGCCTGGTCTACAGAGTCAGTTCCAGGACAGCCAGGGCTACACAGAGAAACCCTGTCTCCAAAAACCAAACAAAAAAAATAAATAAAAAATAAAAAAATAAAAAACATATATCAAGGAACTGGAGGAACGGCTCACAGCAGTTAAGAGCCCTGGTACCCCATGTGAAGTCACATCGAAGGAAGTCAGTTTCAGGAGATCTAACGCCCTCTTCTGGCCTCCTCAGGTACATGGACATACTCACAGGCAAAATACTAAGATAAATTACAAAATATATATGTATATTATTGACCTTTTTCTTTATTGTTTAAGTATTCTGCAACAGATCCAGAAAGCCTCCCTCTCCCTCCCTCTCTCTCTCTCTGAAATTATTGATTACATATGGAAAAAAGTTGTAAGAGGTGGCTCTCCCACCAGGTGGGTTTGAACTCAGGACATCAGGCTTGGCCGCAAGCACCTTTACCTGCTGAGCCACTTCACTGGTATTAATGGTTTTGTTGTTGTTGTTTCCAAATTTACTTGTTTTTTGTACATGATTTTTTTTTTTTCCAAGACAGGGCTTCTCTGTGTAGCCTTGGCTGTTCTGGAACTAGCTCTGTAGACCAAGCTGGCCTCGAACTCAGAGATCTGTCTATCTCTGCCTCCAGAGTGCTGGGATTAAAGACATGTGCCACCACCACTCAGTTCAAACTTTTTTTTTTTTTTTTTTTGTGTTTTTTGACAGGGTTTCTCTGTGTAGTCCTGGCTATCCTGGAACTCACTCTGTAGACCAGGCTGGCCTCGAACTCAGAAATCCACCTGCCTCTGCCTCCCAAGTTCTGGGATTAAAGGCGTGTGCCACCGCCGCCCGGCCCCTGTTTATGCTTTCTTAAGACAGAGTCTCACTATGTAAGACTGACTGTCCTAGAACTTGATATGTAGACCAGGTTGGCCTTGATCCACCAGGCTTTGTCTCTCAAGAATCGGAATTAAAGGCATATACCATCATTCATCCCAAGCTGGCTAGGACTGGTTCTATAGCAAGAGACATTGAGTCCCTAACCGTCCTGCCTCCCCAGTTCTGAGATTGTAGGTGTCTGCCACTATGCTGAGTGACTTCAACTTAACATATTAACTTTGTGCTCAACTACCTGAGAAAATTCCTTCTGAAAGGTTTTTTGTTTGTAATATTAGATTCCGAGCATTAAAAAAATCATACTGTTTTTTAAAAAAAATATGTAACATGCAAGTATGCATACAAGACATGGAAGTGTGAACTTCATAGGGAGACATGTTTAAATGTTTAAAAACATTTCCCTTGGGCTGGAGAGATGTCTCAGCGGTTAAGAGCACTGACTGCTCTTCCAGAGGTCCTGAGTTCAATTCCCAGCAACCACAAGGGGGCTCACAACCATCTATAATGGGATCCGATGTTCATTTTTGGTATGTCTGAAGGCAGCTACAGTGTAATCACATACATTAAATTAAAAAAAAGTTTTAAAAATCCCCTTGTAGGGGAAAACTGTCTAAAATGGTTCTTGAAGTAGAAAGAGCATGTTGAAAATCAAAGGTTGTCTTTGCATTATAAAGACGAGGCAGGCTGTAGTTATATATTTAGGAAAATATTTGTATAGACTTCTGTAACAATAATTAATAAAAAAGAGACCACGAATTTGAAAAAGGGTAAGAAGGGATACATGGGAATATTTGGAGGGAGGGAAGGATCGTCGAGTAAACGATATAATTATATATCTCAAAAATCAAAATCATTTTTTTACAAGGACCATCTTTCAGTTTGAAATTAAAATTATACAAGCTTGGAAGATAACCAGGAAGGCGGCCATGGTGAAGCGTATCTGTAATCCCTGTACTAAGGAGGCAGATGCCACACAGTTGGAAGACAACCTGCATTTTACGAGAGTCTGTTCTCAAAATTTTAAATAAAATAAAATTTTAAAAAAGGAAGAAAAGAAAAACTATTCAGGAAAAACCCTTTTGGGGACGGTCAGAAAAAAAAGCTAAAAAGCAAGGAAGAGGGAAGTGGCTTAGCAGGCCTTGGGCACGGGTGTGTGAGGAGACAGAGATAGCCCCAGCGGGGTTCCGGAAGGGGCAGGGTGTACAGGGGAAAGGCCCCAGAGCCACTCAGGGAGCAATGTCTCTGACAGCACAACCCCCACGGTCAACAGGAAGTCAAGGTGTCTCTGCAGAGAGGGGCAGTCATAAGACTTCACAGAAGGAGGCGCCCTGAGGGGGCTACCGAGGCCTAAAAGGCCAACTTCAGCTTTAGGGAAGGAAGAAGGGGTGTGTGTGGTGAGGGGGTGCTCAGAACGGAGACTCACGAGTGAAACTCTGGAGGCCACAGGAGTCCTGATCAGGCTGGGGTGCCTGACCACCCGGTCCCTCCTCATCAGAGTTCCAGGCAGAGGAGGCAGAAGAGGCAGAAGAGGCGGGCGAACAGAAGAGAGAGAGACTGCCAGAGGACAAGGAAGAGGAGCTGGAGTCGTCCTCTTCCAGCTGGTCAAACTTCCTCTTCAGTAGCCCAGCCATAGTGGGATGTCAGGGGTTCCAGCAGCTGAGGACAGACACCTGGAATGAAGGTAATGGAACTGTTAAGTGGTAGGCTCCAGCCAAGCCATGTTTTCCCCATCCCCAGCTTACTTTCCATGGTATCTCCCAGACTCTGAGCCCTCCAGGCTGGCCAGAAGCTGTAGGTTCATGATAGTGTCTCCAGTAGGGTCCCCAGCCCCAAACAACACAGTACCTAGTCCCTCAAATGAGTCTAAAATGCAAATCCAAATCTCGGAGACTTTGGCCTCCTAAGACCTGGCCCCATCGTGATAACAAGCCTTCTCTGGAAAACAGCCAGGTACCTTCCCCTGTTGCCACCTACACCACACACACACACACACACACACACACACACACACACACACACACGTGCGCGCCAGCAGGCAGACAGACCAACAGATGGACTGACAGAACTCCCAGCCTGGCTCATCTTCACAGGAATCCTGGAGGCCGACTCACTGATTCCCAGGCACTCAGGTCTTTGTGCACTTGCCTGTGCAGGGCCTTCTGAAATCTCCAGAGCCCCCCTCTAAGGGGGCCACTCCTCTCCAACCGCACAGACACAGGTCCACCGCCTCACCCACTGACAGCTTCGGTCCGTACTCCTGGGCCAGGCTGACCAGGAGCTCTGAGACCAGGCACTGGTTTCGACTGGTTGGCTCAATTCCCAGCAGAAGGACTTTCCGAAGCCCCTCCCCTCCCTGGGATGGAGCTTAGACTTTCCCTCAGAAACCCCCATGCCACAGGAGAAAAGTCCCTTGCTCTAGGCTGGACTGTGGCAGGAGACTTTACTTTGATCTTAAACTTACCTCCAATATCTAACCCCTATGGTTAATTCTCTTTAAAACAAAACCTCTAATAGTGAAACAATCTAAGAAAGCTGCTATCCTTTTTTCCCCCCTTACTTCTTTATAGCTTCTCTGGAGCCCGTTAAGATGCAATCACTCACCAGTCAGGCTGGAGGGGTCAAAACTCCTTCCCTAACCCCCCAGTGCTTGGACAAGTAACAGTGCGTCCAGGACTTGGGGCTCAGAGAGTTCAAGGATGGTGGCTGTGTGTAGCTACCTGCTGGGTGGCTGGCTTGAGTCTGCAGTACTCTCTCATTCAGGGTTGAATGCCCACAGCTGGGGACCCCTCCCCCACCACCATCACAGGAAGTGAAAGAGGCAGGAAAACTAAGCAGAAAGCTGTCTAGATCTCCTCCACTGAGATATCCTGTGGTCCCTTCTCCTAGCCTTCCAGCAGGTCCCTAAATCCAAGGGCACCAGCTGTCAACTCACTGGATAAAAGCACTCATGGGAGTGACAGCCATCTCCTCCAGACAGCCATGGGAGAGGCTCAAGAAAATCTTACTACCAGGCCAAGCCCTCACCCCAGGCCTGGGGGAAGAAGGACATGCAGGTGTTTCCGGGGCAGTTTCTCAGGCTAGGTTACACGACCTCCCAGAGTCAAACCGCAAACACAAACAGCCCAGTTAACCTGTAGACTCTCCCAGGAGATGAGGGTGTTTGCTCTGTCATAAGCCAGGCACCACACACACGTGCACACGCACCCTTACCACAGACACACTTATATACACAAGTTGACAGACAGGTAGCCCATGAATATCCGGTCACCACCGCAGCCTAATGCATGAGGGGAGAAGGGAGGAACCCCGCCCCCCCTTCCAGTTGCTTCCCATGAGACAAAAGGCACAGGTCCAAGACCCCAAAACCAAGGACCCACTTCTGGAAATACACAATTCCACAGGCCCCAAACTAAACCTCTCTGCCCCCCTCCAAGCCATCTGTTCTTCTTCCTGTGTTCCCTGTCTTAGTAACTGCTGCCACCCACCCAGTTGCTCAAGCCAGAAACCTGCAGCCTGCAGCCACCCTCAGCTTCTCCCTCCCCTCTTCTTGCACCCACACCCAGGCAGCCTCAGTCCTGGAAGTTCACCTACAGGCTAGGCAGACTTGGGTGGTATCCTAGGGGCCAAAATCAGCCGCCTGATTAGCTATTGGCTGAGTGATCCTGGGCAGGTTCATGAAAATCACTGTCTCCAATTGTCTGAAGGCCCCAGAAGGCCAGACAGGGTGGTGCACACTTGATACCGATCCTAGCACTCGGTAGGTGCAGGAGAATCAAGAGTTCAAGATCAGCCTCCGCTATTTGAGACCCGAAGGAAATAAATAAACATTAGAACCCCACCAGGAGGGGAGGAATACAGGAATCAACACACATCACGTTCTGTCAGTGAATCGTGTGCTCCGTGAGTGTGCAAAAAACAGTAAGCCCTGGGACTCATGAGCAGAGACACAGGAGTGAACGCACCAGAAAATGCAAACGGAGATTGACAAAGGGGAGAACCAATCAGAGGGGCACTGTACCCGCCCTCTCCACAGCCAAGCTAGAGGACAGGACAGTCCAGGAGGGGGTGTGTGTGACCTGAGGACAGTTGTGAGGGGATTTCCTGGTGTGTGTGTGTGTGTGTGTGATGATGGTTAGAGGGTGGTAGTTTGCAAGGGTGTTAAATGCTTAACAATTCCTCCACTGCGAGTGACATTCCTATACTGTAGGCATTCTATGTAGGTCACCTGATGGCGGAGCTCCCTGAAGTGCTCCTGCAAAGCCCTGAGGTGGCTTCTCAGCACAGCACACACACCGAGCTTATCACCTGTTCTGTGTCTCTGCCTCCACTTGCTGCCACCCTGAGCTACCCTGTACCCTACAGTCAAATGACAGAAAGGAACACCACCTCGCAGTCCCCATGGTGAGCACCACAGCCCCCATGCTGAGCGCCACTGTTTGCAGCCCCCATGCTGAGCTCCACTGTTTGCAGTCCCCCACAAGGAAGGGCATGTCCCTACTACCCTCCCAGGCTTCTCCACAGACTAGAACAGCCCACCCAGCCTTACGCCCTTCCAGAAGTCATTTCTGAACTGAGTATCACAGCTCACATTGATCCAACCTCACACAAGGCAGGAGAATTGCCTGGAGTTTTAAGCCAACCCGATTTACAGAGAAAAATCTCCTCCTCCAAAACGGCATTACCAAAAGAAACTCAAAAGCTCCCCCCCCACACACACACACACTTCTGCCTTTTTGGGATACTGCTATGGACAGAACACTTTCCAACAAAAATAATCCCAATCAAAGGTTAATCTCCCATGCCATGACCTTGGAGGCAAGTGCTTCAGGAAATACTAGAACTAGAGTCTGTGTAGCCCTTGATGGTCTCAATCTTGATCCTCCAGTGTCCACCTCTCAAGTGCTGGGATGACAGACATATGCCTCCATGTGTTCCAGGGACATAGGTCAGCTGTCTGGCACTCATGAAACCCTGGGTTCAGCTCTTTAAGAGCTGTAAGTGAGCACAGTGTAGCGGCCTCTCCTCACACAAGGCTAGGCTAAACGCTACCTCTGCATGGCCATAATAAGTCTGGGAGAGAGGCCCAGAAGAGTGGGCAGGACAGCCACACAGACAGTGTTTTAGCCCAGGGGTCTTAGTGTGACGTTTTCCTGCCTCTGAAAGCTAATCTAAGGAGGAGACACACACCCATCCCCCAGTCAGGGTCAGTGTAGGCTAAGCAAGAACGGTGTTCAAAGGTGGCTTTGAGGATGGGGGTGGGGGGAGAGGACGACGACGCTTGCTCTGGTGCAAGTGTGAGGTGGCATCTCAGAGGCTCCGGGTTCCCCAAGAGTAAACAGATGTCAGGGAGGTAGGTGTGGACTGGAGAGAGATCCACAGTCAAGTGTACCCAAGATAAGAGCTAAGGCTGAAGGGTGTTAACATTCAAAGCTGCAGGCAGAGTTCTGGAAAGGGAAGGTTGCTTCAGGCATGAGTGCTGGACCCCTGGCTGGTCCAAGGAGAGGGAGGGAGGGAAGGAAGAGTGCCACCTGGGATCCAGAGGCTGAAAGAAGGCAGACAGAAAGACTGCGTAGCAGAGGAGAGGAGGCCAAGTCAGAAAACGAAATGAAAGATAGCTGAAGAGCCCAAGAAAAGTGCCAGACAGTGAGTCAGGGGGTGGGGGAGGGGCTGCAGCAGCTACTCAGGAACCAAGATCCTGTTCCCAGGGTGAACACAGTCCTGTCCTAGGGTCCTGGAGGAAGGAAAAGCCATTCCCAGGAGCTGGCTCAGACAGAAACACCACACCCCCTGAGGAGCCCCAGAGGCAGGCCCCGGAATCAAAGGGAACTGGGCTCCTTCCGGGATGGTAGCAGCTTGAGAATCTGGGGCCGCCCCCTTCCTGCCACCACACACAGGAGCTGACAGCCCAGAGAACGGAATGTCACCTCAGTCTAGTGACCACAGCTATCTAGTACACTGAACCTGCAAAGGCTATTCCACCCAGGCAACAAGGGGCAGCTATGGGAAGTCTCATCCCGCCAGTGTGCTCCACTCCCCAGCCCCTAGCTGCCTCGATCCCCCTTCCAGGAATCTGAAGAATGTGTCCTTTGACCTCAGAACCCCAGGTCTTGATCAGTCATGCCCCCCACCCCCAACACCTAGGGTCACAGGACCCCAGACCCTCCTGAAGGGCTTCCTGGGACGTGGAAAATCACCTCCAAGCAGTTCTGGACCTCAGGGAAACAAAGTGCTGGGCAGCTCAAGAGACAGCAGACAGGAAGCACTGGTGTACCCCTCCCCCATCCATGCCTCAGAAAGTGATGGGGGGAGGGGACAGTTCCTTCAATTCAGTCTCCAGGGCCCTGCCCTGGGGAAGTGCCAAATGTTTGCTGTCTACCCAGGGAAAACTGCATTTGACAGTTTCCCCTTCCTCTGCTTTAAGCCAGTTTTTCACATTCATTCATTCATTCATCAATCAAATCCTAACTAAGCTTCCAAAAGATTCCAAGCACTATGGCAGACACTGGGCACCCAGGGAAAGGACCTACAACCAACACCTCTCAAGCTGGAGTTATACAGGAGATAGGCAAGAAGGGTACAACTGGAGACGAGGCAAGTTCCTCTGAAGGAGGGACATTGGCAGAGTTCCAGATAGGGGGTCACAGCGAAGTCCAGGGGCTGGAGTAAGGACAGCCAATGCGCCTTCTGGTGGTGATGCAGTTAAGAGGGCCTGTGTTAGCCCGAGGGCACAGGAAGCCACCCAAGGGTGTAAGTAGGGACCGACAATTCTAGATTTGCATTGTTAAAAGATGGATCAGCGCCTGGCGAGAGAGGGTGTGACCCGTAGGACACACAGGGCAGGGCCAGGTGACAGGACAAGCGCAGAGGAGAAAAGGGGGTGGATTTGGTGACAGCCTGAGAGATGTGGGCGGGGCTGTCAAAGATTTGGGGGCAGGGAGTACTGACTTACTCTCTGCAAAAGGGTGAGACTTCGGTCCAGAGGTGTTGGGTGGGCAGGTAGAGAGCAGGGAGTGATTCTCAGGAAGGTAGGCTATGTCTGGGAGTGACTGTACCGGCAAGTGTGTGGCCGGTGCTGTAGTGTGGGCATTTCTACACTACGTGAAGGCGAAAGGACCTCCGGGAAGGGGAAACTGAGGAAGGAGAGGAAATGCGTGCAGAAAAAGTAGAGGTGCGTGGGAGAGAGCCTACGTGTGCCCACGGGTGGCCGGTGTAGCTGCGCCCCGTGACTCACGGCAGTGGCCTCTGCGTGTGACGGTGACAGGTGAACATACGACACAATCCTCCTCCCCCTCCCTCCCTCCCAGGGTCCGTGACTCACCAAGCCTCACTCATTCCTCACTCATCCCTCCACACCCTCTCTGACCCCCGCCTGCCGGGGGCGCCCGGCACACGCCACAGCTCCGGCACCCTCCCCCTGGGGAGCCCGAGGAGGAAGACGACCAATGTCACCTGCCCCGGCCACGCGAGTAACTTCTGAAAAGTTCTCAGGCAACTAGGTCAAAAGGAAACTCACCCGCGGGCACGCGCGCCCCGTCCCTCTGGCACCTGCGCCCGGCTTTGGGGCGCCTGGACATCTCGGGGTAACCACAGCGAGGCGGGGGAGGGGAAGCCTGGCCTTTCCCCCACACACACCTCGCAGCCGTGGGCTCCCACCCCAGGCGCGCGATCTCCAGCCGGGCTGGGAGGCCGGATCCCGGCGTCCCCTCCGGAAGACCCAAGGGAGATCAGCGGGGAGCTGGAGTGACAGCGCCACTCACCCGAGACGCCCCCAGCCCCAATTCCCATCCGATCGCGTTCAGATTCCCTGGCACTCACCTAAGCTAGCAACGCTCGCCCAAGACACCGCAGCCACTCGTGTGCCGGCTCCGGGGTCGCAGCGAGCGCAGCGACCCCGCAGTGCGCTCGGCCAGGCGGCCGTCGGTGCAGCCGACCCAGGTCTGCGCGTCCGGCGGCGGCGGGAGAGACTGGCTCAGCCCCGGCCCCGCCCGCAGCTCCGCCCTCCTCGTCACTGGAAAACTCCGGGGCTCACGGCGCTGACGCACGCCGGGCCTCCCGCCAGGCCGCCCGGCAGCCAGCAGCTCGCGGCCCCGCCCCGGAGGCGCCGCCCCCTCCCCCGCCTCGAGCCTCCCGGCGGACTCTGACCGGACCCCGGCGCCGCTGCTCCGCGCTCGACTCCTCCGATCGCCGAGCCGAGCTTCGTGCAGAGCCGGGTCCTAGAGATGTCCGCCTCTCCGCTCCGAGCAGTCCCGAGCTGCAGACTGGGTAGACTGAGGCTGCGAGCGATGGAAGCCCCTCCCCCTGCCTCCACCCGCCCGGGGCAGTTTATCATCAATCCAATCTGAGGACCCTTCCCGGGCCCTCACCCTACCTCTCATTCCCAGAACCCGCAGAAAGTTAGCCCAGACTGGAGACCAGCCAGGGATAAGGAGAGAAGAAAAGGTCATCCCAGGGCCTGGCCTTCACCTCTGCCCTCGGGCCAGAGCCCTTACTCCCGAACAATACCTAAAGTAGAGATTGCTGGAACCAGCTTCCCCACCCCCATCCCTCCTTTAAAAAAAAAAAAAAGAAAAAGGAAAAAAAAAAAAAAAGGAATCTGGTTTCTCCCAGGCAGGACCCTGGCTACTTACAGCGGCCTGCTGCCTCCTCTGCTCCCGCCAAGACCTTCCCTAGGCTCGCAGCCAACTCCCTGTACTACTAGGCAGAAGAAAGTGTGTTCCAGCAGTCAACTTCTCAAGAGCCCACCCGAGTCCTCGTCGGCCCACGGCAGGGCCAGTTCGACCCAGTACCTAGAGAGCTTTCTCTCCTGTTCTGACTGCACCCACCACCTGGAATGTTTCACTCTCTCTCCACTCACCTGAGGGAATCCCAACAACGCCTAGGATGGCTCAGCAAGTACTGCCTCCTCCTCCTGGAAGCCTTCGTGGAAGCTCGACCCTCCCCCTCCCAGCCCCGCTCCCGCTGCATTCTGGGTTCTTCTGACTGTCCTAGGTGAATGCTGTCAGTGGCTAGTCCAACCCTCAGAATTCCATTCTCCCCTCCCCCGTGTGCAGTTGGGAGGTGACCTTCTGTTCTGCCTAAATGGCACCGAGGGTGGGGAGGATGGCGGGTCCTTTCTTCAGTCTTCAGTCCTGGATGTACATGTACAGAGGACAAGGGAAGTAGGGGTTGGGGTGGGGGTCAGCCTGCCCTTTATCTGTGGTAATCTGGGGTCTGGGGGCCAGATGAGCTCCTCAACACACAGCTTTGGTACTCTGAAGCCGCTGAGTGGCTGAGTCTGCTCAGGAAATAGTAGTCTACAGGGCAGCCGAAGATGTATGTAGCTCAATGGTAGAGCACTTTCCACGGCTTGTGGAAAGCCCTGGGTTCCACCCCATTTTGAGAACAAAACATGGCAGATCGGTGGTGGTGATGATGCAGGCCTTTAACTCCAGCATTCAGGAGGCAGACACTGCCAGGGCAATGGTGGCGCAGGCCTTTAATCCCTGAACTTGGGAAGCTGAGGCAGGCAGATTTCTGAGTTCGAGGCTAGCCTGGTCTACAGAGTGAGTGCCAGGACTACACAGAGAAACCTTGTCTCAAAAAAAAAAAAAAAAAAAAAAGGCAGATGCTGGGGAATCTGTGTTCAGGGCCAGCCTGGTCTACAGAGCAAGTTCCAGGACAGCCAGTGCTACACAGAGAAACTCTAAAACAAAACATGGCCTAGCATGATGTTGCACACTTTTAATCCCAGCACTCAAGAGGTAGAGGCAGGGTGATCTCTGTGAGTTCGAGGCCAGCCAGTTCTACATAGTGACTTCCAGGAAAGCCAAAGCTACATGGCAAAAAAAAAAAAAGCAAACAAAATCTACACATCAGAGAACTGCTTGTCAGTCTACACAGGTGGCACAGGTTTCAGGGCTGTCCTTCCAGGCCCCACATTTCCCCACCACCAGGTTCAGCCCATCTCTCCCTGTGCCCACAGGTTTGCAGCTCTCGATGACCCAACAATCTTGGCACTACCAGTCTTCCTCATCATCACCAGCAGAGGGGTTTATTGTTTTGGAGACTGGTCTCATGTACCCCAGACTGGCTGGCCTTCAGCTTGCTGTACAGCCGAGGATGGCTTTGGGCCTCCTGGTTCTCTGGCCTCCACCTCCTGAGTGCTGGAACTGCAGGCAGGTACCATAGTGCAGATTTTATATAGTGCTGCGGGTAGAACCAAGGGCCTTGTGTATGTTAGGCAAGCACACTACAGACTGAGCTACCTCTCCAGCCCAGGAGGAGGGCTTTGATGAGGCCTACAAGCCCTGTTTTTCAGCTCCAGCTTCCAGTGCATAAAATGGGAACATTGAACCAGTGAGCCCAACCAGCTGCAACATTCTTTGCCTCCGATTCTGCAAAATGCTGCTGAGGGAACTGAGCAGGGCTGGACTCTAGAGTTAATGAGGTTCTCTGGAGCTACCTAGGTCTGCATCCTGCTAGGCTCTGTATCTAGGAAACCAGACAAGGCTGAAAACGAGGGCAGGGAGTTGGCAAGGACCATACTGGGGGCTTAGATCGAGGGACCTGACGGGTGAGGGAGTCTGGTGAGCAGGAGGAGAAGGAGATTAAAGGGGGGAAAATATAATCAAATAAGTGATGTATTTCTGCAGAGAAGCATCTCCCTGTCCTGGGATGCCTCACCAGATGTTGCCCAGATGTTGCTGGTGATGGGAAATATCTCCCTCAGGGATCTCATCTGAACTCTTCCTGTTGGTGGGGAATAAAGTATCTGTTCCAAGGCAGGCAGAGTCGGGTGTGGGGGTGTGGAGCACTCATCTGTAAATATGGCACACACACACACTATACAATGTGCTTGCACACACACTCTCAGGCAAAAAGACCCACATATCCTCAATCCTCAAGGAATTTCTGAATACTTGGAGACCTGCAAGTACGAAGGATTTTATTATTTAGGCAAATTAAAATTATTACAAGTGTTGAGGGGTTTTATTGGGGGTAGGGGGAGACAGGGCTTTTCAGTGTAACCCTAGCTATCCTGGAACTCGATCTGTAGACCAGGCTGGCTTCAGACTCCAGGATCTGCCTGCTTCTGTCTCCAAGTGCTGGGACTAAAGGTGTGCACCACCACTGCCTGACTTTAAGTAAAGTTCTTTTGAATGCACTGAGTGAGATAACTCCTAGGAACGGCAGCCACTACAAGCTGGGGAAGCCGGTTAAGGAGATTCAACAACTCTTACTTGCTGTTATAGACGTTATAGGTAAGAAGTCTGAGTTAAGGGGGGGGAGGTCTCTGAGCTTAGTGAAGGTGTAGAGAAAATGAGATGTGGTCTCTGCAGGGGCAGAGTCTGTAATCTCTCACAGCCCAAGCTCTGTTCATGGCAGAGATGCTCTTTTGCACCCCTGTGCGTGTACTTTGCTGAGAGGAGTAGCTGGGGGACCCTAGTGCCTCCGGCCACAGTTGGGTGTCGAAGGGAAAGGGGGCCACAGTCCTATCTCAAATATTCTCTTCTGGAGACTCAACCCAGTGACCTCATCATCCCTGGATCAAATTCTGACCAGCTCCATGCTGCCTTTTTGTCTCCTTTACTTAAAGGAAACAAACCCTCCACCCCAACCCTGCCTTGGCAGCCTAAGGCAGAGCCGCTGGAGACTGGGCCTGAGCACCCAGCCCCTCAGTGTCCTCTGAAAACTTGAAGGCTGAATGATTGATAGACTCTCCTAGACTGGCTGAGTTGGTAACCCTGGCCAGGCTCCAGCACCTTCTGATGTCAAGTACTCTACATGACCTGTTGCCTGTCAACTCTAAGACCCACCCTCTGAGCTAAGGCGGAGAAAGAAAACTTATTAGGGAGGCTGCATATCAGAGTAAGTGGAAGGCTTAGGTGAGTATCAGAGCTACAGGCCTGAATCTCAGCACTTGGAAGGCAGAGTCAGGGCAATCAGGTGTTTCTGGTCAACCTCAGCTGTGTAGCAAGTTTGACGTTAGAAAAAAGGAAAAGGCTGTTTTATTTTAAGATAGAGTGTCTCTATGCAGCCCAGTCATGTCTCACTTTCTGGCTATAGCCCAGCTTTCTTTCTTTCTTTCTTTCTTTCTTTATTTATTTATCTCTTATTTACTCATTAGTTTTTCAAGACAGGCTTTTTCTGTGTAGCACTGGCTGTCCTGGAACTCGCTCTATAGACCAGGTTGGACTTGAACTTGGAGAACCACCTGCCTCTGCTTTCAAGTGCTGGGATTAAAGATGTGAACCACCACTGTCCAGCTCTAGCCCAGCTTTAAAAATGTGAAGACTTTGTGTAAACATCTTGTGAATTAAAAACTTACTGGGCAGTGGCACATGCCTTTAATCCCAACACTCAGGAGGCAGAAACAGACAGAACCATGAGTTCAAGCTCAATATGGTTTACAGACTGAGTTCTAGGACAGCAAAGGGGTACACAGAGAAACCCAGTCTTGGGGAAAAAAAAAAAAAAAAGCCCCCAGCCAGGTGGTGGTGGTGGTGGCACACACCTTTAATCCCCGCATTTGAGAGGCAGAGGCAATCGGATCTCTGTAAGTTCAAGGACAGTCTTCAGCCTTCAGAAGCTAGCCAGGACTACAGAGAAATCCTGCTTCACAAACAAAACAGAACAACTTTACCAATTGGTTTCTGGATTTTCTGGGTAAAAGATTTTCTATGTATACTATCAAATTGCCTTTCCCCAAAATTCACCAATTTCACTCACAAGCAAATATCTTGGGGTGGCTATTTCCCAAGATCCTCCCTGGATCTGGGGTCATCACATTCTCTGGCCCCGCTCATCTGCTGGAAAAACAAGAAGTTTGGCAATTTTATTTCTATTTTTGTTTTAACTCTGGTAGCTCAAGCTGATATTAAACTGGATATACACCTGGGGGTAACCATGAACAATCGATGTTTCTGCCTCCACCTCTCAAGTTCTGGGACCACAGGGATGTAATACCATATACAGCTGCCATATTTACCTTAGAGATC